TTTAGTGAAGAAGTCTACATGGAATTACCTCCTGGATATTTAACAGGAGAGGGGGACATTCTTCCACCAAAAGCAGTATGTCGGCTTCATAAATCCATTTACAGCTTTAAACAAGTATCAAGACAGTGGTTTCATAAGTTTTCTACTGCATTAATACAAGAAGGATTCAAGCAATCTGAATGTGATCATTCTTTATTTGTCAAGATTCATAATAATATTTTTGTTGCTTTACTAGTGTATGTTGATGACATTGTCATAGCCAGCAATAATGATACACCAGTACAGAACTTAAAGACAGTTTTGAGTCAGAAATTCAAGATGAAAGATTTGGGTCCTCTTCGGTATTTTCTGGGTATGAAAGTAGCACGGAATTCAACTAGTATATCTTTATGTTAAAAAAAGTATGCACTTGATCTTTTGACTGAAACAAGATATACAAGTTGTAGACCTGTTTTTATTCCAATGGAGCCAAACTTAAACTTGTCAAAAGAAGATGGTGATATTCATGAAGATCCAGCTAGTTATCGTCGACTAATTAAAAAACTGTTATATCTCACTATCACCAGACCAGACTTGTGTTACTGTGTTAACAGGTTGAGTCAGTTCATGTATGCCCCACGAACTTCACATTTACAAGCCGTCATGCGTATTCTACAGTATATTAAGAAAATACCTGGACAAGGACTTCATTTTTCATCATCATCTTCAGTACAAGTAAAAGGATTTTCTGATGCAGATTGGGGAACTTGCCCAGATACTCGACGGTCGTTGACTGGATTTTGTATGTTTCTAAGTTCTTCACTTGTTTCTTAGAAATCAAAGAAACAAAATGTGGTATCTAGATCATCAGCTGAAACAGAATACAGATCAATGGCCAATACTACGTGTGAGATAGTTTGGGTTCTCAGCTTATTACAAGAACTTAAGATTTCACACCAAGGACCAGTATTATTATACTGTGACAATCAGATAGCTTTGTACATTGCTTCAAATCCAGTTTATTATGAACGTTCAAAGCACATTGAACTTGACTGTCATTTTGTCAGAGAAAAAATACAGTCAGTACATTTAAAGACTATGCACTTATCATCACAGAATCAACTTGGAGACATAATGATCAAGGCTTTGTCTTCACAATTGTTTTACTCATTCCTCGGCAAGATGGGCGTCATCAATTTGTATGCTCCATCTTGAGGGGAGGGTAATAGAATTAGTTATTAATTAGTTTGTAATTAGTTAAAATTAGTTTGTAGTTGTAATCAGTTACAATTACTTGAAATTAATTTGTAATTTGTTAACAACTAATTAACAACTCTGCTATATAAATAAACGGAGCATGTAATCCATTATACACATACATGAATACAACAAAATTTTCTTATTTTCTTTCTTCTTCTGGGCTATCTTAACTCTGATAATCTGTTATACAATCTTGGGGAGGTTGACGAAAAGATACCAAGTTATGGGGTCACTTTTCACTTTCTGAACTCCACTGATTTTTGCTCATTGGATATGGGAATATTCTCCCGCCACTTATTAAGCTTCTTTCCCCAGAAAACAAAAAGTGGTGGCGACTAATAAATGGTACTGAATTTTTTCAGCGGTGATGTCGTAACCCATCACTAAATCTCAAATTTGCTTCATTTAATACCTGTCATAATGTAATTTGCAGCACCTATAGGTATGTACAAGCAGCCATAATAGTAGTGAACGGATAGATGTTTTCATATTTTAACTTCACCTCGATTTCTTTTTTTATAAATAAAAACTTTACCTTGATTTCTGAATCTATACTCTTATATGATCTCCTGCTCTCCTGCATTCCTGCATCTAATTTGATTCTGAACTGAAGAAAATGAAACCGATTTGTGTC